TATTTTAACGCTGTGCTGTCACAACACCCAACATTCTCCACACACCAAGTCACATTATTATATTGACGACTCTTTCCACTGTTATACTGACCCACTTTAATGTCATCTGACATCTGCACTGCTTGCCTGCACTCAGTTTATGTTGGATTTCTTGTATTTGAGGCATCTCATTTAGTAGACACTTTACTATATTCTATTTATATTATGTATTTGACATTCTGGCTGCTATAACAGAGGAATTTCTCAATATCTGGTCTAAATAAATTATTTTATTTTATGCAGACACCTGAGGCTTTGAGTGTGAAAACATGTGAACTGATGTATTTCAGTAATAATTGTTTTATAATGGCACACACAGCTCTGACTTCTTCAGCCGCTGCCAAAGGCAGCAGCTACATCCTGGTTCTCAAAACAGAAACCATTATAGCATAATGGGAATTATCCAATTTATTGCTCAGATCAAGAGAGCCATTAGCATTATTGCATTATTCCATAATAGTGCTCACCCGCTGATATAGTTCTATTTTCAGAAATCATCTAAATATGCAGTTTTCATATTATTACGAAATAATGTTAAATCATTTAATTTGCTACAAACACTACCTTTTTGTTTATTTCGTAATAATATAATGTTAATGAGGCAGCAGGTAGAGTGCACTTAGTGCACTGCAGTCAATTTAGTTAATCTAATATATTGTTGATTAATTTAGTTAACCTACAAAACACGCAGATTGATCTTCTGGTTAAAGCCTAGGCAAGCACATTTTCTTGGGCTAGCCTCAGTGCTATTTTTCATCATCATCATCATAAAACACAGTCAGTCTATGAACTTAAGAGCTGAAAGACTCACCCCACTTTAGTGAAGAGCTTCCCATGAGCATGCAGGAAACTCAGAATGAATCTCTTATTGAGCTGTAGAGAAAAAAAAACAGAAAAAAGACCAGGCCAAAACAGAAAGGGGGAAAGGATTACTAATGTTCGTGCAAAAGTTTTATTTAGTCACTAATCCACAGGTGCAACACATTGCAAGAAAACATGTTTTCATCCAGAGACGACACACATTTTGAAATGACGTCAACATTTAAGTGCACTTGGTATTTTGAACAATAGGGTTAGGAAGAAATGGGACTAAGAGACAGCAAAGAGGATACATATGCCTCTCAACAGTGTCCACTGACAAATAATAGACCAAAATAGGCCAAAAAATAAAATAAAATGGGAACAGAAAAAGGCTGCTCCTGTTCTTCTGTCGCTACAGCCAATATATCATAATATAAATGATACTGGAATGTAGGTGTGTAATAAATTATAACAGCATATTTTTTGCTGTGTAATATTAAATTGTAAATGAAATCAGAGCTTCATCATCCTTGCAGTTACAGGGAGTTTGTCAGTACCTACATCAGCTGACTAGGCAGCATCAGCATAATAGCCCAGGTTTTACACTGTAAATAATGTAGAAAAAGCAGATAGTGTCTTTATCTTTTCTGTGTGCCACTGCATATATACATAAGGGTTGGGTGATTTGTAAAAGTTTTACAAATTTGGGAAAAAAGTGCTTGGAGTCCAGCTACTCAATACTGTTCCTGCAGCCAAAGACAGTACTGGAGCCGCTGCTGCTCTTATGAGATGCTCATAATATGCTTTTATAGACCCAGTTTAATCTACTGTACTCTCTCAGCTAGCACTGTGATAAATGATGAAATAGCAATACTCTGTCTATACCAATTTCAATTAATAAATAATGGTGCTTCACTGTGAGCAAAAAATGTAAATAAAAATAAAAACAGTAAAGAGGTTTAAAGACATTACTCAATGCAGGCAGGGAAATGAAAATGAAATGAAAATATGAGTCGACTGAATGACAGCCTAGGGGGAAAACGAAAAAATGATGACAGAGGGAATAAATAAGCACCAAAACAAATTCATATAGACTGTATGAGAGGAAATAAATTAGAGGAAAAACTACATCGGATTACAAATAAAACCTTATTGGAGATGTCTGCAGACACAGTGTTATTTTTTCAAGGAACCCAAAGTCTGGCTGCTGTGCAAATTTAAAAAAAAAAAAAAAGTATGCAGAGGAAAAACAGAGGACTCTGAGCTGATATGTATTAAGGAATAGACACAGAGACTTACATCAGCAACGCTGAGACTGCCCAGCTCTCCATCTTGTTCAGAATCTCTGCTGGACTCACTACCTCCTCTCTGAGAGGAAGGTGCTGCTGCCTGTCCACTGGGGCGAATCCAGATCTCCACACGTGCTCCTTCCTCCCTTCTTCCTCTTCCTCTCACTGCTGGACCCCTGGAGCCTCCTTCATGCTCCTGCCTCCTCCTTCGCTCAAGCTGCTCTGCCTACAAAAAAGATAAAAACAGTCTGTCAACACGAAACACTTGCTGTGCCTTAAGTCCTAATTTTTCTCATAAAGCAATTTATTAAGCAAATTTATTGTAGGGTCTATTAGGCGAGGTGAGAAAACACCCTGTGGCAATCACTGGCATTATAATTATGCATGAATCCCTACTGGCTAGACAGTTCTTCTCAAATTAAGTTCTTGAGATCTTACTTGATGTGATCTCAAGTGTTTTCTGTTGTAGAAATCTGACAAAAGTTAATGTCCATGAAACGTGTATCTGACCTTACGCTTGGCTTCCTCAAAAAGACTCATGAGGCTCTCCTTTGCAGTCAGAATGGGATTGGAAGCTGCCAAGCTACGCATATAATAACACACGGCATCTAACTTCCGCTTCTGTAGGTTAGAAATGGAGAAGACATAAATAAGAAGAGAGAGGTAACACACACACATACGTTCAAAACACAGTTATATTTTCCCCATTTTCAGGGACATGCAAACAGACGTACAGTCACTAAAAGCCAAATCCAGTTACTTAATTCAAACTGTAACATTTCTACCCTTAGGAGTCCTGAACCTAAGTACAGCAATGCATTTTCCATTATTAGGGTACTGTGCTTTACAATTTGAAATACTACATTACAACAGGTCTCATTTTTAACCCAAGGGCATCAAGACCGAGAGAACTCTGTGGGAGATACAGAAGTAGCCAAAGGTTTAGGGTTTCAGAAATGATCAAATACAGAGGCCTGCCTTCCAATGAGTTTAGATTCAGCTGGTTGAATATGAAGGCATGTAACACCAAATGTATCAAATTTGATACACAAGTTTTTGAGACATCTACATCATCAGTATGATTTTATAACTAACCGCCTTATGTGTTTTTGTTTAATATAAACAGCTCCACTGGTTTCTTTTTTTTACCTTGCAAACTGAAACCTTGTCTTTCTGCTTCAGATACATACTGGGGGGTTGGACATTGGATAAATCCTCTAAGCCAGGGGTGTCCAATTGGCCCACAAGAAATTTTATAAATAGAATAGAATATGGCCCGCACTTCAACTTTTGCTTGAGTGTATTGCACGTCTTAGGTTTAACACCAGGGGGAGCTACTGTTGATTAAGCCAGTTGCTCCACCAAAAAGGACAATCACAGAAGAAATTTACCCCAAGTTACTAAACATGGCAGAACCAAAAAAGCAAAAGGTAGGAAGTGAGAGCAGAAAATTTCAGACACGGTGGGAGAGTGAATATTTCTTCAAAGAATTCAAGGGGAAGTGTGTCTGTTTGATCTGCACTGAAACTGTGGCAATTATGAAAGAGTATAATGTACGACGTCATTATGAAACCAAACATCAGGCCTATGCGTCCTACACTGGTGCTGAGCAAGAGCAGAAAGTAAAGCAAATGGTAGCTCTCCTGCAGGGTCAGCAACAGTATTTTTTTCGCGCTCAAGAAGTCCAGGAAAAGGCTACAATAGCCAGCTATGAGGTTGCCCAACTCATCACAAGACATGGCAAGCCTTTTTCAGATGGAGACCTCATAAAACATGGCCTCGTTAAAGTCGCTGAAATAATGTGCCCGGAAAAAGTGCAGGACTTCAACAGCGTCAGCATGTCCAGAATACAATTGTGCGATGCATTGAAGACTTGTCAGCCAACACTAAACTGCAGCTGTCTGATAAAGTTTGTGCCTTTGATTTTTACTCCATCGCATGCAATGAGAGCACTGATGCCACAGACACCGCACAGCTGCTAATTTTTTTGCAGGGAGTTTACAAGAACTTTGGAGTTACAGAGGAGCTGCTCGATCTTAAGAGTCTAAAAGGCACAACAACGGGTATGAATATTTTTGAAGCTGTGTCAGACTCAATTGACAAAATGAGACTTAAATGGGACAATGGGAGTTATAACAGACGGGGCTCCAGCTATGGCAGGTGCACACAAAGGAATGGCGTCTATGATGATCCAGACCTGGCTACCAGCCATCCTTCGGTCCAAAGTGCAGCATCACTGCTCCTACTGAGTGCAATGGCGTTCCCACTTAAGGTGAGTAAAAAATATATTCCACAGTACCCGTGTGTTAATAAGCATGCATGTGCAAGTACACATGCTTCTAATATCAATAATGCTCATCAATTCTGTCACTACCCTGCTTTTGCGCACCACTTTCTTATATGCATTTTTCTTGTTAACACAGAGTACACACCGCTGTGCACAGCGCACACACTGCACACGCAAAGTCAGCTGATCTCATCTGATGCAGATTTGCTCCTTGATCAAGTGACATTTGTCTGGATTTTTGGGACAAGGGGCGTCGGATGAGCACCGCAGCTGGATGGCCCGATTTACATACCCAGCGCAGCTGATACTCACCAGAATAATTTACTAAAATTATATGAACTCCTGTAATTAAGTCCAGTTCAATCTGTTAATGTTGATAACCCTTTCAAACGAACGTTAATAGGTGTGTTGCTAAGCCTAATAACTTTAATAACAAGTTTGAAATGTACCCGTCCCATTTTCCCCTTTATTGTTTTTTCTCTGTACTGTAAATATTCTGTCTAAGAAGAAATCTGAGGCTGCTGTTCTGAGAATGAGCTACCAAAGCTTTTTCTGAATAAATCAATAAAGATCCATTTATGGAAAGCTATGATGAAGGCAGTTTTGTCTTTAATTATATTCAACAATATAACATATTTGACCACTTTTAATTGATTTTTCTAACTTTAATACACTAAGGTTAAGGCCATATACCTAATTTCTAGTAAGTGACCCAGCCCCTCCTATATTTTTATGTATGTGGCCCTCAGTGAAAAAAGTTTGGACACCCCTGCTCTAAGCGTTTAGTCATTAATTTTTTTCCCTTTGATCCTTGACAAGTAAAGATCAAGGCCTACATCATAGAGAACATTTTTGACTTGCTATGCAGTTATAAATGGTTTCAATTTGGACATTGTATTAAAAGGAATAACTCTCAAACACCATTCTTTCAATATTGCATCAACCTACAAGAGTTGCATCTGAACTTGAAACTTTCCTGTAGGATAAATTAGTTAGGATTAGGACCACTTCAAAATGAATGTGCCAAAGCACGGAGCTATGAGAATAAAAAAGTGAAGTTTCTCAATACTTAAGAGTCTGATCTGTATCACTTACTGTATAAACAGCCAGCAGAGCCAGCTGGTTGTAGGGGCGTCCATTTTTGGGGGCAATCTGCTGGGCCTTCAGATACCAGCTGTGGAAAAGTAAACAAGTAGTCATGACACATCAATAAAGAGACAAACATTTTCAGTTTCTACCTTAAAAGTTTAAGTAATCTGTCACATATAGGTAAAAAGTTATGTCTTTAGCATATAATAACTAAAACATCTAAAGAAGTCAAAGTTTCAAAGTAAAGTGACCAGTCCAGAACTGTAGGAGTGCATATGTGGGAGAAACAATGGAAATGATCAGCCACTTGCACTGCATGAAAACGGGTATAAAACATCTGTACTGCTTAAAAAAAGAAATAGAAATGGTAGTTGTGACTCCTCATTCGTTAATTCAGGAGTTGTCAGATTTTTAAAATATCAGTCTACTCACTTGTTCAAACTCAAATTTGAATATCAAGACACATCCCACACTCTTGAATGTTTGTCAGAAATTTTACAATGCCAAGAGAAATCTCAAATTCAAGCCTACCTGCGAGCCTTGCCATAGTTGGCAGAGTCACTGGCTTGCTCCCGATAACGTGCTATGTCACCCTGACAAATCATACAGCGCTGAGCACTAATGAGTGCATACTTCACCTGAAAAAAATGTATTCGCTACATAAAAAAAAAATTAAGAAATTGTCGCAACATTTGTTGTAACATGGAAATCGGGTGACTTTTCAAAGCCGCTTACTGGATGTTTTCATGTACAATGGAAACTCATTCACTACATTTTGAACATTTAGTATTCAGTACAACATTGAACATGTTACAGAAGCAAAAAAGCTAAAAGGAATGGTTCCCTACCGTTTTGCGTAATGGACGAGCCCTGATAGCCATGCCATCCATATAATCCTCTAACTTAAATTGGTATACTGTCTGAAGCTTCTGAAGTAGTGCGTCAAAGAATAATTCGCCCTGTAAAACACAAAAGAATAAAAAAATATTATAAAAATTAGAAGGACTTTTCCCCTTAATTATGAAATCAAACTCAACTCCCTACCCAAGAGTCATAAAGTCCTGCAAAGGAAGTAAAAGTTTAACAAGACTTTATATTTATTATTAATTTATTCTTCTCTGTTAAAAGTACATGAATTACTTCTCTAAAATGGATTTGGAAAAAAAATTTGTCCCTGATTTAGGCAACAAATACAATTTGCATCATCTAGTGATACACAGACTAATTTTGGGTTACGAATGAACCCATAATCTAAACCATACAGGCAGAAAAGTGCCCAAGTGATTGTTAGATATGTTTCTTGGGAAACCTTTTCCTATGTAAATTTCCAACACGTTCCTTACCTCATCAAGCAGTGTAAGGAGCTTGTTTCTGATATGAGGGGCATTGTCATAGGTGGGCTCTTTGAGTAGCTGCCGGAAGCGCTCTATGACCTGGTAAAAGACATTCTTCCACAAAGCCTGATCCACGTTCTGAGAGTCTGAGAACTCGATGTCTGTCAGGATGACCTGCTCATATATCCCCAGAAGGTCCGCTCTTTAAAATGGAAGGAAACAACATGATAGTGCTTTTTCAACTAGATTACTGGCTCACTTGTCACCGAGACAAATAACTGGCATTAGGACAACAAACCACAAAAACACAGAAAAATGTCTAGCTTTGTCCCTGAATGCTCACCTGAGCTGGGCCATGCGATCCAGTCCATCAGCACTCACTCTATCCCGGGAGAGCAGATTACTGAGCTGAAGCTCCTGTGCATCTGCAGCCCTCAGCAGTCTTCCCAGCTCCCCTCTGGTGTGTTGCTCTGCCTCTTCAAATGTTACACTGCCTCCTGCACCCGGGAGGGAATAACCTGATCCCCTGTAATTACTGCAGAACTGACCCACACCAGGGCTTGGATACATGCTATTAGTGTAAGCCATTTGGTAGGGTCCCATATGATAAGGAAATGGATAGCGCTGGTTGGTGTTAGGATTATGTGGGCCACTGGTGGGCACAGGGTAGCAATACGGGTTGTCTGAGTTTTGGAATTTGTAGTAGGCCATGGCAGAAGCCTGCTGGGGTCGAAAGCGCTCACCCTGCGTGACTGGAGGGCTGCCTGCTACCTCATCATCTGTGTCCAGAAAATGAAGCTGTCCATATCCTGTACCTGTCTGAAGATATACAGACTGCTGAAGAGATGAATGCTGTGAGGACTGATTGCTGGTAAGAGCAGGTTTTTGGTCTGGGTTATTTGGATCCCAGAGTCGCCTTGCTCCTCCTCCTCGACCTCCTCTACTCCTGCCAGCTGCACCACCTCTAATTCCACCAAAAAGAAGCCTTTGCCCCACTTCAGGTGAATTAGAGATATCTGTCCGGGCTGGAAGTACCAGGATGCCCCCACCTCGGCCACGAGGAACGGGGCCCTCCTTGCGATGTTGTGCATCCCCACTATGTGATGAGGTGTCCGACTGTTTTTCCAAAGACACCCTGAGGATTCCCCGACCCCCACATTTGTTTCCTTTTTGTCTGTTTCGTTCGCCTCTCTGTCTCTCTCTACTTAACTGGCCCTCACCACCTCTTCTCTTCCTCCTCCTATCGTCTGCTCTGTCACTCATCTCACTTCCTTCCAGTGATTCTGTAGAGGATTCCTCATTTGTTGTCCAACTTTTTAAATGATGCCTTTGTCCTTCTCCACCAACAATAGCCCCCTTTTTATTGTTGTCTCTAGAATGTGACCACTTTGTACTCTCCACATCCTTTCCTAGTCCAGGATAATCCAGGCTGGTCACACTACTTGCTGAGCTACTGCTGTAAGTTCGATTACGTGAGCGCCGAATATCTGATTTGGAATAGCGTTTCGAGGTTGGTGTTGTGACATTTGCATTGGATCGATTTCTGTTTACGTTTTTTTCTGTCTTGGCATCTCTCTCAGCATCTCTGGATCTGCTGTTGTTGGTTTCGCCACTTCGGTTTTCTCTGCGGTTCTCTCTTCCTTTATTTTGGTGTGTTTGCTTTGCTTTATCCATTTTCTCGACATCTGCTTCTACAGCTCTCTTGTCTTTTTCCCTCTCAGTATTCCTTTGATTATGCTTACCCTGATCACCTGCTTCATCTTCTTTTCTGGAGTCCTGAGTCTTTTCCACGCCTCTCCTCCTTCGGTTTCCCCTTTCTCTCTTCTTCTCTGACTTTTCTTCCTCATCTTTGGTTCCTGACCCTTGACCTAGCCTTTTCCTGTCAGTTGGTTCCCTTCCCTTGCAACTTAGTTCTCCAGCATCTTGACTTGTATATTCAACTTTATCCTTTTCTTGTATGTTGAGATTTTCAACTTTGCTAGTAATTTTCTCCACTGAAGCATCAACGGGTATTTCAGGTGTTTCCACGTCTTGGCTTCCTTGCTTTCTACTTGCCTCACTAGAAGTAAACACCTTTGCACTCTCTTGTGTGCCTTTTACTCTTTTATCTTTTCCACCCTGCTTCTGTATAGAGGTTTTTATGTCCACTCCACTTTCCCTCGTACTTTGCTGAGATTCTGGCTCGGTTTTTTGCTCTTGCTTTCTAGGAGGAGGCTTATCCTGTTCTCTTCCAGCCCCACTGTCCTTCCCTTGAATGTTTCTTCTACTCCCAGGTTGATAAAATTCTCTGTCTGGTTTTCGGGTTTTCTTTGCTGGCTTAGCTGCTCCTACAGGTTCTTGATGTTCATTTTCCTTTTCAACAAACAATTTTTCATCATTTGTATCTGATTTATTTTGCGCATGTCTCCCTTTTCTGCAGTTCTGACTGTTACCACCATCGCCTCTCATCCTGTCTTCATCCTTTTTATTGGTACCTGTCCCACTGTCTGTCCACCCTTGTCTCTCCAAAGGTGTCTCCCCAGACACAGCCTTTTTTTCACTCTGGGATGGCTGATCATGCTCATGCGATTCGGCAGCTAGGGGCTCACTTTGACCAGTTTCTCCCTCACTGTCATGGTTACGTCGTCCATGTCCAGGAACTGGCTGGTAGCGTTGCAGATCAGGACGCTTTCCTTCACGCCTTCTGTGCTGCTTGTGTGTGTGATGCTCCTGTTGTTCCTCTGCAGAAAGAACAAATTAAGTTTATATTTAATGGACTGTAATCCACTGTAATGGTAATAATCCAAAGAAGCATTTAAGTCCTACAAAACCCAGAACTAATGTAGTGTGTGACATTATAAAAGATGTCAAACTAATGGGTCAGTACACCATAAACGTGAGGAAGGTCTCTCTGGCTTTTTAGTCCAGTCGGCCCCGTATGAAAAGTACTACTTGTTATCAGATACATCGACTCCGATATGAACTTTTACAATTTCCTTTGTCAGCTAATTTTTAACCACAAAGTTTAACTTACAGGCTGATCCAAGGACTATTAAGTCAAGTGCAGTTGGCCATGTTAGTCCCATCCTCCTCCTAGTACCATTTAGCAACTCTATCCTGAAATACGGTGGTTTTTAGAGCTTGCTTATATTGGACATATTAACTGTTTTAAAGCACGCAAACTTCTTTTGTACATCCTGTATACAAACTCACGTGAGGCATTCATCACCCAGGCCAAAGGACTGATCAGTGACCAACTGGCAACCTCCAGTCGTATTTTCCTGACTGGTTTTCAAACAGGATCCTGAAAGTTGCTGGACCAAAAACCTCACTGTGACTGCTCAGGTATCTAGCACCGTGCCAATAGCTTGTCTCAGAGTTTTATTTTCACCTTTTGAAAAATACTGGTTGCAGAGTTAAGACACAAGTTTTATTTTATTTTTTCCCTACTGCTTGGTGAGTACTTTGTGTTTGCAGACAAGCTGGCATTTTCAATGCAAACTACTGGTGACCGCAGCAAACTGCAAGCAAACAAAGCAATCTCCAGGACTTCTTTCGTGAACCATCTTATACATTTCCATGACTAATTTCTAGCCACTTCCAGCAACCACTTGGAAATACACTTTTTTTTCACCCCCTCACAAACAGCGGCTGCCACATGGTCGCTGACCAGCTTGTTTCAGAGAGGATATATGTTATCCCAAAACTAACTAAATATCTACTGAAAACAAAACAAACCTTTTTACCAAGAAGCCTTTAATGCAAACTTCTCCCACTAGCTCTTTAACCACAGACTAACCTCAAACTCTCTCTAGCCCTGCCTGTTCTAGTTAATATTTCACTTATAACAGGAAACCATTATCAGTTAAAGGTTTTTTTTTTTCTATGAACATATTGTAAAGCACTGATATGTTTAGTTTTGAGGTTTCTTTTCGTTTAGTGATGCACCACTTGTTAAATTCTGCGCAGATAAAACATTTAAGAAACAATTTATCCACTTTTTTGTTAGTTTATTTATAGATAGAGTAGCGGCCTGTCCTGGGTGTATCCAGTCTCTCGCCCTGTGACAGCCAAGATAGGCTCCAGCCCAACCGCAACACTGAACTTGATAAGCGAAAACAAATAGATGGATGGCTATTTTGTTTTTCTGCATACTGTACTTGTTTTTTCCTCGGGAAATAAGTACACTTGTATTATGTCAAAAATAATTAAACGTCGCTTAGATTTTCAACATTTAAATGTTGCGCAAAATAAAGTAAATGTTGTCTTCTTGCTAACAGGCTGATGTCGGCCGATATCATGGTGATCATGTAAGTTTCACACACAGCCACCTGCTCATAGCGTTTATCAAACAGAATCCGCCTTGCAGGAATGAGCGGAAATGACCAGGTACAGATAAATCCACAAAACTTCCCACAAAACTAAGAATCCCGCATCACCCTTTTGACGTCTTTCTTAATAGCTGCAATGTGCAAGTTTAAAGTTTACGGTTGGAAGAGTTGGCGAATTATGTAACATTAACTATCGTTTAACTTAACCGCAACGGGAGTCTAGCATTCTCGTTTAAAAATTTAAAAAAAAAAAACCCGCGTAGTGTACTTTAAATGCAGATATTACGCGTAAGAAAGAGCTGATTAAATGTTTAAAGTAGAAATACTAAATCGTGACAAGACTATGACGAGCGTTTTGTAGAGGGGGCGTTTAAAACAGGCAGCGCGGGACTATGGAGTGGACAGGCACACGGCTAGCTAGCTAACAACATTAGCTAGATACAAACTTGGTAACTCCCGTCGGTCACTTTCAGATAACTTGGGATACTTTTTCGCTTGAATTTCAAGACTCTTTCAGCAATTTGTTCTTTACACGTATCCGATTAACTTATTCTCACCTTTGTGACACTCAGTAACGCTGACTGAATTCGACGCTTCAGCTCGGAGTTCCGCAGCTGAGATTCGCACTCTATCCAGTTCCGCCGCCATCTTTGCTTTCACTCGAACAAACACAACAAATACGGTGGCCCCGCTGGTTCAAATATCTTAACCGGGTGACGTTGCAGCTAGCAGTACTATTCCTTCACAGTGACATCAACCCGTGCATAGTTTTAATCAAGCAATGAAACGAATAACAAAATTTTCGATATATATATATTTTCGAATATATATATATATA